AGACAGGGTCTCTTGATGTAGTTCAGGCTGGCCTTGAGCTCACTTTGTAGCCCAGGCTGGTGTCAAACTCACAGTGATCCTCTTGCCTCAGCCTCCCGTGTGCTGGGATTACAGGCTTTTTTTTTTTTTCTGTACTGAGAATCGACCTGAGGACCTTGTGCTTGCCAGGCAGATACTGTGCCACTGAGCTGTATCCCTAGTCCCTCTCCCCTCCTTATTTACAAAAGCTTTGTTTCCATTTTTTATTCTATTCTCTTATTTTTTTCTTGTCCCTTCCTTCCTTTCCCCCTCTCCATCCCTTTTTCCCCTTCCCAGTTTACCTTTTTTTTTTTTTGTGACAGGGCCTTGTGATGCAGTCCAGGCTGGACTTGAGCTCACTTTGTAGCCCAGGCTGGTCTTGAACTTGCAATGATCCTTGTGCCTCAGCCTCCCAAGGGCTGAGATTACAGGGATGCACCACCACACCCAGCCTCCTATATCTATTTTTAAATAAATGTTTTAAAATAAAAATCAGGCTGTGGGTGTAACTCAGTGGTAGGGCACTTATCTAACACATGTAAGGCCCTGAGTTTGATTCCCTGAAGCACAAAAAAGTAAAATGAAAAATAAAAAATAAGCCTGGCACAGTGTCATATGCTAGGAATTCCAGCATTTGAGAGGCTGAGGCAGGAGGAAGCAAGTTTGAGGCCATCATGTGATACCTAGGCCATCCTGGATACAGAGGAAGGTACTGTCTGGAAAAACAAACAAAAGACATTTCCATGTAAACAAATTTATTAAAACTGTCACGAAGCTGAGCATGATGGCACACATCTGTCATCCCAGCACTCAGAAGGCTGAGGCAGGAGGATTGCTGCAAGTGAACTACATAGCAAGACCCTTTCTCAACAAACAAACAGTGACATGATTCTTTATCTGAAAAATTACAGATACTGCGGGTTTTTATTTTCTTTTTATGTCCACTACCATATCTTACCTGGAGGCAAGTATCTCTGACTTTGGGGGCCATTGGACTCCACCAGCCATAAGAAGTTCCTTTTACTATTTATCTATTTACATATTTATTCTGGAGGTGCTGGGAATTGACCTAAGAGGTTCATGCAAACTAAACAAATAGTCTATGTCTGAGATGCACTTCTAACTCTAAGAGGTCCTTTTTGTTTGTCTTTCTGAGACAGGGTATCACTGTGTAGTGCAGGCTGGCCTTGAACTCACCTATGTAGCCCAGGCTGGCCTCAAACTCAGGGGACCTTCCTGCCTCAGCCTTCTGAGTGCTGGGATTACAGGAGTACGCCATCACACCTGGCAAGGTCTTTATTTTTGGTTGTTTTGTTTGAGACAGGTTTTTGCTATGTAGTTCAGGCTGGCCTTGAACTCGTGGCGATCCTCCTGCCTCAGCCTTCCAAGAGCTGAGATGACAGGCATGTGCCACCATGCCCAGCTACATTTGTTTTCTTGAGACAGAGTCTCAGTGTGTAGTGCAGGCTGGCTTTGAACTCATGGTGATCCTCCTGCCTCAGCCTCCCTAGTACTGGGATTACAGGTGTGCGACATATGGCCTTTACTGTATTTTTTTTTTTTTACTTTGTACTTTGGGACAGGGTCTTGCTCAGTCACCAGGTTGGTCTCAATTTTGTGATCCTTCTGTCTGCACTTCCCAAGTGCTGGGATGATGGACGTGCGCCACCGCGCCCAACAAAGTTCATTTTAGAGTAGTGCGAGCTAATTCCAGTTGCCCAGCAACCTCTGGGATACAGGTCCCCTTTAACTCTCCTTTCCACGCTCTCCCTATTAGGTCCCTCACATTGTACCCCGCCCAACTTGAGGAGAAAAACAGAAAGCCCCTCACTCAGCTCGAGAGACCAGAGTAAATCTGTTTATCAGGATGCTGCTCAGGCCTGCAGAAAACCTCCTAAGTCTACAGACTGCCACGCTGTAAATCAGCAACATGCTGATGTCCTCCTGCACTTCCCTGCCCCAGAGGTCCCACACCCACCAATCATCCCTGAGAAACTTAAATTGTCCACCTTTCTCAGCGGAATTTCCCCCTCCCGTGCCTAAAATAGCCTGTAAAGCAGGCCCCCTTCCTTTGTTCGGGGCCAACAGCTTTCTCGCCCTTGGCCAGGTTGCACCCAGCCTGAAAGATAGCACGGTTTGCTTCAATCCTGCCTGTCCTGGTGGTCTCGGTCGCTACTAGGGGTCTAGTCTGTCACTCTCATCACCTTTTTCTCATCCTTTTGCCATCTGTTTCCATCCCCGCTTCCAATCTACTCCTTTTCTGCAAAACTATGGACCATGCTGGGAGGTGGCGACCACAGTTTGCTGAGGCCCACCACGGCACCTAGTGCAAAGCAGCTACTCGAATTTAGGGAGCAGTTGAACTGCGTGCTCGCAAAATCCCCGTCGCGCTCCAAGCGTCACTTCCGGTCGCGACCCACTGGGCAGCCGGAGGTGAGAGAACCGCGGCTGGAGGGCGGGGTCCTGGCGAGGGCGGGGTCAGGGGCGGGGCGGGGCCTCGCGGGCCTCGCTTGCAGGCGTCCGCCTGCCAGGCGGGCGCGGGCTTCGGGGTTCGTGGCCGCGGCGGCGGGGGCGAGAGCCTTTTACCAGGAAGGGGCGGAGGGAGGTGGCCTCTGGTCGATCCCCCCTCCGCAGTCGCCCACTCGGGGTGCCCTGGCCCGGCAGGACTGCCGCTCATCCTCGAGGCCTGCGGGGGCCCTCTTGACTTCTGGGCCGCCCGTCGGGTCGTGCGCCCATCTTTCGTCCTCCCAGTTCGCACCCGAGCCCCGCTTGTGTCCCACCTGACAACTTTTGGACTCACGGAATCGCAGGGCCACTCACCCTAATCCCTAAACACCGCTGCTGTGCCACGCCTCGGGTTGGCATTGCCAGCTGCCTTGGGCTCCATCCACTCAAACTCTTCCAGCCGCACACAGAGACGGTGGCATCAGAGCCCAAGCCCTGTACCAGCGACTCCAGGCGGCCCGCCCTGCTACAAGGACTGGGCGTGGGTACACGGCCCCCAGCCTCCCTTCTGGACCACTTCTCAGCACCACGGTGCCTGCCTCTTCCCCCTGCACTTGACCTCTCCCACCCTCCCTGCCTGTCCTGCCTCAGCCTTCTGCCATAAGACGCAGGCTGGACCAGGCCTCCAGGGTAAGTGACTTGAACCCTAGGCCGGCAGGGGCCTTGTCATGGGGGAGGGGCGTCCCGGCAAGAGCCTTTTGCTGACCCTGTCCTCAGTCTCAGATGTTGCGGGTAGGCAGGGCCAAAGACTGATCAGGATCCCGGGGCTTCGGGACACTACAGAGCACGGGACAACTGGCGGCAGAGTGGTGAAAACACTGCGTCCAGGTCTTGGTTGCCCCAGTTCCAGCAGCTGAAGTGACACCAGGGTGGTGGCTGGATGCTCCGCCCTCTAGAAACTCCCAAGTCTGCCTGGGAATTTGAGGTGCTGGGAGGGCACACACAGAGGGGATGCTCGGACGGGCTGAGAAGCTCCAGGGGCTCAGATTCTAGAACTTCAGAGAAGGGGCCCCATGACTCAGTCTGACCCCGTTCTGGCAACTTCCTTGGGGAGGGTGGACCTGCTCCCTCCCGGGACCCTGTCTCATCACCACAGGGCAGTCCAGTGTTCCCACCAGTGGCCAGCCACTGCCACACAGCTTTGTCACCTCTTCTAACCTGTTCTCTGGAGGCCTCCTGGACCTGACCCAGCAGTACACCCTGTGTCCTCCACAGGCAGGTCCCCTTGTTCCTCCTGGAGCTGCGGGAGAGATTTTACCCCACCTGTGGCATTGCTGCAGCCCTGTTGTACCTCTTTTTTGTTTTGTTTTGTTTTGTTTCAGTAGTGGAGATTGAACCTAGAGCTTACACACTAAGATACATCCCCAGCCCTTTGGTTTATATTTTTGTTTTGAGACAGGGTCTTGCTAAATTGCACTGGCCGGGTTTGAACTTGCAATCCTCCTGCCTCAGCTTCCCAAGTGCTGGGATTATAAGTGTGCGCCCCACACCCAGCTGTACTGCATCTTGTAGCCAGTGAGGAATGCGCTGGTGGTGACAGGACTGAAGGTGGCTCTCCTGAGCCCCTTGTCTGAGAACATCCCCAAAAGGCCCCTGTGGTGGACAACCGCAGCAAAGCAAACAGCTAGAGCAGCTACAGGTCTCCTCCCCCAGTGGGGTCGCGGGGGCTTGAGACAGCAGTGCGAGGGGAGGGGACAGCTAAGTGGCAGCTAGGGCCAGCATAAGACATTGCTTTTCCATATCTGAGCTTGCAGCAAGGGTCTTGGTCAGTCTCCCAATAGCGGGCTTGCAGATGTCCCGGGCTCCTGGGGTCACAGCACTGACCTTTACCAACTGCCCCTCTGTGTCCCTCCCCTCCTCAGGGAGAGCCCTGCCCTTGAGGCAGGCAGCACGGAACCAGCACGGCCCATGGACCCTTCTCAGGAGGAGCCCACAGCGCCGACAGGGGCACTCTCTTGAGCTGCAGAGGGCTGGGCACTGCATCCTCAGGCAAGAGCTATGGTGTTGGGGAGAGGCAGGGGCCCCCAGCAGTGGGCAGGCCTGGGCCTGGAGGGAGGGTACTCGGGCCCCCTGAGCGTGCTGGGAGCCGCCCTGCTGCTCCTTTGCCTGCCACGGGGGGCCCAGAGCATGGCTGGTGCCAACCTCGGCACTGCTCTGGGCCGCACGGTACCTCTGGCAGGGGCCCGCTACCTGAGCATTGGGGATGGCTCTGTGGTGGAATTTGAGTTCCCTGAGGAAAGCGAGGGCATCATTGTGATTTCAAGCCAGTATCCGGGCCAGGCCAATGGGACCGGGACCAGCCCCACCCTAAAGGTCACATCCCTGGACACAGAGGTGCTGACTATCAAGAACGTGAGTGCCATCGCATGGGGCGGCGGGGGCGGCTTTGTGGTGAGCATCCACTCAGGCCTGGCCGGGCTGGCACCACTCCGCATCCAGCTTGTGGATGCTCACGAGGCCCCGCCCATGCTGATTGAGGAGCGGATGGATTTCTGCATCAAGGTCTCGCCCGCGGAAGACTCCCCGACTGCGCTCACCACCGAGCTGGCCCACTTCTCGGAGAACCCGATCCTCTACCTGCTCTTGCCGCTCATCTTCGTCAACAAGTGTTCATTTGGGTGCAAAGTGGAACTCAAGGTCCTCAAGGGGCTCCTGCAGAGCCCCCAGCCCATGCTACTGGGCCTCCTGGGCCAGTTTCTGGTCATGCCCTTCTATGCCTTCCTGATGGCCAAAGTCTTCATGCTGCCCAAGGCCCTGGCTCTGGGCCTCATCATTACCTGCTCATCACCCGGCGGTGGGGGCAGCTACCTCTTCAGCCTTCTTCTCGGAGGCGACATCACACTGGCCATCTCCATGACCTTCATTTCAACGGTGGCCGCCACTGGGTTCCTGCCACTGTCCTCGGCCATCTATAGCCGCCTGCTCAGCATCCATGAAACACTGCATGTGCCAGTCTCCAAGATCCTGGGCACCCTGCTGTTCATTGCCATCCCCATAGCCACAGGCGTGGTGATCAAGTCCAAGCTGCCGAAGTTCTCCCAGCTGCTGCTGCAGGTCATCAAGCCCTTCAGCTTTGTGCTGCTGCTGGGCGGCCTCTTTCTGGCCTACCGCATGGGGGTCTTCATCCTGGCAGGAGTCAGGCTACCCATTGTCCTGGTGGGCCTCACCGTGCCCCTGGTTGGCCTCTTGGTAGGCTACTGCCTGGCCAGCTGCCTGAGGCTGCCAGTAGCACAGAGGCGGACAGTCAGCCTTGAGGTCGGGGTGCAGAACAGCCTTCTGGCCTTGGCCATGCTGCAGCTGTCCCTCCGCCGCCTCCAGGCAGACTACGCTTCCCAGGCCCCCTTCATTGTGGCGCTGAGTGGGACCTCTGAGATTCTGGCCCTGGTCATCGGCCACTTCATCTATAGCAGCCTGTTTCCAGTCGCATGAGACCACTGCCTCGCTCCCCACCCACGATCGCCAGGTTCCTGTGTACCAAAGGCCTTTAGTTCTCATGTACTGTGCACTCAGACCAATCCAGGCTTATTTTTTTTTACTGGTTTTTTATTCTTCAGCTTTCAGTGCCAAAGAGGCCATACTGAGTTAAGTAGGTGGGCAGTGCCCAGAAAATATATTTCAATAAAAGAAAGGTGCAAGCTTGGGGTCCCTTCCAGTCTCCGCCCCTGGGGCCTGGGTGGGCAGGAGGCATGTGTCTGGGAAGGTGTGTGCAGGGTGGGGCAGTGTCCTGGCCGGCCAGGCTCTGTCCTTCTGTCCTGGTAGGTCACCTCCCTGTTCTAGGACAAGAGAGGTGGGAGAACGAGGGTGGCAGACTGGCTCAAAGGAGAAAGTCATCCGGCAGTGGACAAGCTTGGCAGGGCTGGTCCCCTTCTGTCACTGAAAGACAACCGGGATTGGCATCAGCCCACGCCGCCAGCGCACTGCAAGCTTAGGGCTGGCCAGTCTGGCCCCGGGCCAAGCTGACTTCCTGGTCCGTCCCCAGAGCCCCCAGAGCCCCCAGAGCCCCCAGAGCCCCAGCTCGCAGACGAGCAAACCCGGCCCAACTCGTTCCTCCTCCACGTCCTGGCGGGCTGGGCGCGCGTTTCCGGGCACCCTCGGCCTGGGCAGTCCCCGCGCGGAGGCGAGGCGGGACC